CACCCGGGGTCACCCCCACGCCCTTCCCGGGAGGGGCGGCCCAGCCTGGCCCGGGCCGTGCGGCCTTTGAGCCTCCGTGGATGGGGCTGGGTGGGTTTTGGGGCTGTTTTCGCCGAGATCAGGCTTTGCTTCTCGTCTTAATTAGGTCTGGGGTTACTTTTTGATTGCGTTGGTAAGCCGGATAGGAGAGTTTTCTGCCCCTTCCCACGCTCTTTGCCTCCGAGGCCCTCGCAGCTGCTTTCTTGGCTGCGACATAAATTGTTGCATTTTCGGTTAATGAGCAGGAAAAAGGGGTTCGATTTTTTTGTTTTAACCGGTAGCAAAACGGTCGGATTTGGCTTGTGAAGCTGCTGGTTACAGAACTCCCCTTAGGCTTTGCTGATGTGCCTTCTTGGCAGCTGTTTTAAGGGGGCTGTTTTCGCCGAGATCAGGCTTTGCTTCTCGTCTTAATTAGGTCTGGGGTTACTTTTTGATTGCGTTGGTAAGCCGGATAGGAGAGTTTTCTGCCCCTTCCCACGCTCTTTGCCTCCGAGGCCCTCGCAGCTGCTTTCTTGGCTGCGACATAAATTGTTGCATTTTCGGTTAATGAGCAGGAAAAAGGGGTTCGATTTTTTTGTTTTAACCGGTAGCAAAACGGTCGGATTTGGCTTGTGAAGCTGCTGGTTACAGAACTCCCCTTAGGCTTTGCTGATGTGCCTTCTTGGCAGCTGTTTTAAGAAACATGCTTTTTTTTTAAGATATTGGCAGTTGCTTAGTCAAGCTGGGTGTGGTGGGTGAGCTGTTGAAGTAGGAAACCCAGAAAGGTTTAAAAAAGATAGTTCTGGCAGCTCTTTGATGTTCTCTTCTACTGGAGCAATGTCAGGGGTGAACAGAGGTGTTGAGGCCTGTGCCCTTCATTCAGCTTATCTCCTGTAAGCTCACAAAGCTCTTACACCTCAGGAGCTTTCTATCTGTTGTGTTTTCCTTCTGGGGAAAGGGCTAGAGCAGTTTTGTCTGCTCCTGAAGATGTGCTCTCAGGAAACTGGTGATGAGAGACAAAGGTATGCCTTTCTAGACCAGAGGCACAGGTTGCATCTGGCTCAGGAGGTGTGTGGCCTCAGGATTTGATTGCTGGTGCATAGTAACTGGTGTGGGGGGGGAGTGGAGAGAAGGGGTGTTTCCACCCCCTTCTGCAGCAGTTGGTTTCAGTCTTGCTGCTGTGCTGGCATGGAGAGCTTAACCATGGGTGTTTGGGTTGCTTTGGTTGATTCTGGTGTAATCTTTCTGAAGCTGTGCTGACCTGCCTGCTCTAGGGTGAAACCAGAGAGCTTCAGTGACTGGGGCTGCTCCACTACTTTCCCAGCTAAACTCCATTATCTCTTTGTGCTTGAGCTTTATTTTGAGGAGTCTGCACAAACATTTGCACATGGAAATCCCTGAGCTGGAGGTATTGAAACCCCTTGGCTGTCACCATCCTCTACCAGGCTTGAGCTCTCCCTGTAGGCTCTGCTATCTCCAAAATACCCCAATACCAACTTAAATAGAAACCAGAGTCAAAAAAAAAAAGGGGCAGCTGTTGCATTTATTATGTCTGCAAGCACTGCAGTTGTCTTCCTTCACTGTGACAGAGTGTGTTGTGCAAAAAACTCCAGCACTCAGCCTGAAACACTGCAGGAAATCTGGGTAGTTTGGGGCCTGCATTGCCCACAAGTATCCTATTTCTCTACAAGCTGTCAGAGGTGGCAGTTCCTGTGCTCTTCTTATTTAAACATGACCCACTGGCTCCTGTTGGGCTGGTTGTGCTAGAAAAAGAGTAAAACTCCCCAGGTCTGATGGTGAAATAGTGTCATTTGTGGGAACTTAGCTGCACAGGGAACTGGTCTAGCTTGCTGGGAGTTTGCAGGTCTTGAAAACTAGCAGAGCCTTGACCAGTGGGGTTGGTATGTTGCCTTCCAGGTGGAGAGAATGGAGGTAGGTTCAAAACTAGTGTAAGTTCAGATGTGAAAAGGTGTTTTTCTGGGCTTGTCAGGCAGAAGTCAAATGAAATGCCAAAAGGGACACTTGAAGTCTGTGAAGGGGCTGTGGGCTCAGAGCTGCTTTTCAGCTGTGCCCTGCTCCTCCTGTGTTGATTCATGTGTAGTTGTTACTCATAAACAGCAATTCCAGCTGTCCTGATTGTTGTTTTAGGCTAAAAGCTGCTTTCAAGTTGGTTGGTTCAGTTTAACTCCCTGCTTCTGGAAAGTTGTGCTGTGAGGACTGACATGTCAATGTGCCATGAACATGAGGTGACAGCTGCTTGGTCTTTTTGCTGGTGACTAGGGAACTGTTTATTGCCATAAAATGACTTCACTTGTGACCCACCAGAGTAGCAGCCTGACATGTCAAGCTTTTTACTTCATTTTATGATGTTTGGTGCCTGGAAAATCAGATTCCCAATGTTTGTTATTCAAAACAATTTGTAAGGCTTGATGAGATCCTGGTGCCAACACCAGGAAAAATAAACTTGTGTATGAAATTATCAATCACTCTAAATTGATTTTTTTTCTTGTTCTGTTTTGAGGCAAAAGAGCCACAGCTGTATATGAAATATGTTGTCTCATTAGCTCATCATCACATGAGAAAGTTCTGGTTCCAGTAATTGCTTTAGTGATCCTCATTTGAATTCCCCACAAGTGAAGTGCAGATCACCTGAGAAAACTTCTTCCTTCTTGCTTTTAGTAACCCACTTGGTTGTTTTGCCAAGGTGCTGTGAAATCAGGGGAGCTGGAAATGTTTCTTTGCCATGGAGAGATTTTTTCCAGCCTGAGTTTTCTTATTTCCAGCATGAGTTTTAGGACTAGGAGAACCTTCCCAGAAGTTATGTAGGAAAAAGGATTGTTCCTGGAGCAGCCAAAGTGATGGAACTCATCTTGGTTGGGGTATGGATGCAGTCCATTTTTTGAGGTTTATTGTGGTTTCCTGATGAAGCTCTGCAGGTGTTTGTAGCCCTTTCCTATGTGGACTCTCAGGCTTTAGTGAAGAATGAGCCCATGATGGTGTTTTTTTCCCCTTTGTCAGGGCACTTGCAAGCAGGGGATGGGGCCTTGGTTTAAAAAAAAAACCTAGGGGTTTGTGATGGTTCTTCTCCTGTCAGATCTGAACTGAACTGAAGTGGGGTTGTTGTATTGTCTGCCTGGTTGTAGTGATGCTTTTAGCTGCAGGACATGCTGAAGTCTTGTTACCTCCACACTGAGGGTACTTAGCAGAGTCGTAAACAGCAGCAGAGACATCCTGAGCCTTCAGGGAGGGAGCTTTGAAGATGACAGCAGTGAGTCTGAAGAATGTGGGGCATGTTCTGGTTTTGTACTGTGAAGGCTAAAAACTGCCTTGAAGTCACATCTATGTTTATAGGATGAACTGTTCAGCTTTCCAAGTAAAATTTTCCTTTATCCTCATGACAACTAAACAAGGTGATCAGAGTGAAAAGAGAGGAAAATAATGTTCAAATAATCTATATTTTTTTCTTCTTAAGGCATTTAACTTCCCTTAGTTGCCTTCACAAGCAATGCCAAAGTAAATTCTGATGCTTCTTAGCCAGCTTTCCTTTTGGGAGACCAACCATACACAAATGGTTGTACTTCTGATTCCCAGTACATATATAATTAAAATTTGCCCTGCAGTGAAAGAGAAGAGACTGAGAAAGCTCCTGAGCAGGAGCAGAGGTTGATTAATATGGATTATTAGAGATTGCTGATTGAAAGGCTGCAGCTGTGATTGCCATAGCAGGGGGGAGCAAGGTCTCAGTGCTTGCCATGGTGCCTGCCAGGTCTTGTCTTCAGTCTACTCTACCAAAGATGTTTTCTGTGCTCTCCTGCACCCCGAAAATAAACTGCTACACCCCATCACCAGCTCTTCAAGGGGGCGTTGCTTCTGCCACCCCTCACAGATGTCAGCCTTGACTCTAACCACAGTGCTTTATACCTTGGCAGTGAGCTGGCAGGTTTTCCTGAGCTCCTCCCCAGGGCTGTGTCTGACTGAGCAGCTGACCTGACAGCTGTAATTTGCTTTTGTTCTCTCTTTCTCCTGCACAGGCGACTGCCATGTCGGTGGATTGCCTGGGACAGCGCGCAGTCCTCTCGGGGTGAGTGTGACAGTCCCCGCTAGAAACCTGTGACAGTCATTGCCACAAGCCACATCAGCAACCTTCAGGCTGACCTCAATTGAAGGGCTGATGGATGGGTGCAGAAAGGTGCAGCTGAGTTCTTTTCAAGGCTTGATGGGAAGGATTCTGGGCCCCATTTCCTGTGGGATACAGGCTGGAAAGCCCAACAGCACAGCAAAATCTTGTCACGGCTTTCCTGAAAGGTGCTTTCCCAAATCCAGTTGTGGGAGGTGGAGCATGATGAAGTGCTGTCTGGATTCTGCTTGACATATAGATTCAATCATTTCCTGAAGACAAAATTTACCCCAAATATTCCTGTGGTGTATTTGGGCAGAGGAGCAGCTGCCTGCTCAGCTGCCACCTCTCTCTGCTAACAGCTGTTCCTGTCCCACTCTCAGTGACACAATTACCACACTAATTAGGCTGTTCACTTCAGATTCAGGGTTGTGTGGATGAGCTGACCTTTGGTCAGTCTTAGAGGAAATGGGTCCTTGGATACAACTTGGGGGCTTGCTTGCTTCCACGTGAAGCCCTGTGCAGGAATAACCAGCTCAGCAACTGGTTTGGATCCAGCTTGGTGCCTCCATCTCCTTACACCTGCATGGTTTCAGAGCTTGCCCATTTGGGCCATCAATGAGCTGGGGGTGGCCTGTCTGCAATTCAACATCAGGTCCATGGTTTTCAGGCTTCTGCATGCTCAGCAGCCCTTTAGGACTTCTCTCTTCTATTTTAAAGCTGTGTGAGATCCTCGGAGCCTTCAGTGTCTTTAGAACAGGCAGCCCTGAGGACTTTGGTCTAGGAAGACAGCAAAGATGTTCTTTGTGTTTTTGGGAAAGTTCAGAGTGCTCAGAGCAGCTGCTTTCTTGCTATGCAGCTGACACAGGTGGTGCTGGAGTGGTTAATGAGATATGGTTCAATATGTTTTGGTGCTGGTCTTCCAATAGAGTTCATCTGTCTCCCATTTATTTCTGAGCTGTTCATTGTGCTCCTAAGATGAATTGCACTGTGAAGGGAATGTTACCCTGCTTGGCTCTGTGAGCAGCTGGCCACAGCCAGCAGGATGTATGAGCTCAGGTTTAGCACCTTGCAAAGATGTCTCTGCAGCATGTAGGGTTAGCTCAGGGAACTAACAGAACCAGATCAGTGCTGTGTCCTCCCACGTTAATAACCTGTTGCAGCTGAGCCACCTCTGTGCAGGTGCCCTTGGGCTGTCTGTGGAACCAAGCCCCCCAAACAGTGCAGTGTGGGGGGGACACAGCCAGGTAGAATCATCCCAGGTTTGTCAAGGCTGATCAGCTGTTGCTCAGAGCCAGCTCCTCAGGCTGAGGTTGGCTCCTGTGCAGCTCCTGCCTCGTGCTCCCAGCCCTGTGCCACCTGGGCTCTGCTGCCTTCAGCCAACAAAGCATGTCTCCATGTGTTTCCACCACTTCCTGGTGCTTCCTCCTGTATCCTAATGACCTGAGGTTTTCTGTGGTCTGAGCTACCTGTTACATTTGCAAATCCTGTCCAATTTCAGTCTGTCTTTTCACCTATTTTTAAAAAATGTAGCCCTTTTGGAAGCGTGTGGTCAAACGTTCTCGGGAGCGCTGTATCCATCTGTCTTGCCAAATGCTGCACCTCTTTGGTCCTCTAGGCACCAGCTGCACGTGAGCCTGGGCTTTTGAGACCAGTCCTGTGAGACATCCACTCTGTGTCTGTGTCTTGCAGCCGCCGTTTCCTCTACATAGTCAACTTGGATGCACCAAACGAGGGGCACCGGAAGATCTCCCGGCAGAGCAAGTGGGACATCGGAGCGGTGCAGTGGAACCCACACGACAGCTACGCCTACTACTTTGCAGCCTCGGTCAGTCCACTCATTTCGAAGCTGGAACTCAGCAGGGAGCTTCCCTGGTCTCCTATGGGTGGGTTTTTGCAGAGTGGGAAGGCTCCTGGAGCTTGCAAAAATCAAAGCTTGGCTCTTGGTTTTCTGCCAGGGACTCGGTGGTTCTCAGTTGTGAGTTGGTCAGTGTTGAATTCAGTTTTGCTTGCTTGTCTTTTACAAAACACCTTGCCAAATAAAACAGGCATCCAAATGGTCCTTTTCTATAGGGAAGGGGGGTTGTGCTCTCCTTCTAACCTCCATTCTGCTGTGAGATTTGTGCACTTACTGATTGTCTTGCTCTGTTTTATTTTCACCTCCCTGCCTTCCCCAATGGGACCTGGTGCACCAGGCAGTCTGTAAATAGCACAAGTCAATACTGGCTCATCACTGGAACCATCTAGGTTTGCAAATGGGCAGGAACCAAGTCTGTGAGGAGTTCTTATTCAGTGTGTGGAGGAGTAAATAGGCTGGTCTGAAGAAGCCATCTGGGACCTGAGTGGAGTTTTTAGCTCTGATCTTGCCTGGCTCTATCAAGCTTGTTCATGCAGAGCCCTGAGCTCCTGCTTACACCAGTCTAAGCCATCAACCACAGCCCTGCAGCAACCAGCACTGTCCTCACTGTCCTCATCATGAGGTGCCTTTGCTGCTGTGTTGCATCTGCTTTTATAGCCTGAGAGTCCTGGGATAACTGGGGTTAGAGAAGTTCCATCTACTTTTTAACTTTTTTTTGAGAAAACATTCCCTCATCATGAGGTGCCTTTGCTGCTGTGTTGTATCTGCTTTTATAGCCTGAGAGTCCTGGAATAACTGGGGTTAGAGAAGTTCCATCTATTTTTAAACTTTTTTTTGAGAAAACATTTAGGTGAAGGTGATTTCCTGGGATTTCTGTTCCTTTTGCTTCCTGGACTGGCTGTGATTGAAATTGAAGGCAGGCTTGAGAGTGGACTGGTGTAGGCAGTTAGAAGCCTTTTTTTTGCTCTCTGACATACCCCAGCCTGTCTCCTCCCAGCTCTCATACATGAGTGACAAGTTAAAGGTGCCTGTGGATGGAAAAGGAGTGGAAAATATTGCCATCCTGTTTGCCAGCAGCTTCACCTGGTTTGCAGATCAGTCAATTGGAAGTTGTGCAGGCAGAGGGGAAGTCTGTCCTTGGGCTTCTTGTTTCAGCTCTTGTGGAAAGGAGCTAAAAAAAAAAGTCCCCTTGCTGTGCTTGGCTGTGTCTGCCCTCTGGCTCAAGCACATTTCTGAGGACTCCTAAGCTGTTGTTTCAGAAATGCCATTGTTTCCCATCCTAGATCCATGTCACTTCTTTTGTGTGGTCACAAATGCTAGAACTGAGAGGGTGATGAAATTGTTGGAGGCATATGCTGATACTTTTCACAAGAAGCACATATTCTAAGAAAACTATGCTGGAAGGAGCTGTCATTCTCTCACACCTGGTGGTACAGGCAGCATTTTCCAAGTGTTGTGTCCCACCAGGAGTCTGTAAAACTCTGGTGATCCTTGTCTTGTAGCATCAGCCCTGGAGTCCTGGATAAATCCGCTTGGGTAATTTCACTCTACCCTTGTAAATCCTTCTGTCAATGAGAAGCATGCAAGAAGTTTTCCTTGTCCTGAGCTCTTGTGCATCCCTGCTGTGAGCTATTAGGAAAATGTCATATATTATTGCTGAGCTGGGAGGAGATCTTCCATTTCAGGGAAGGCTGGAGTGTTTTATCCATCTGCAAGTTCATATTCAAATCAAGCAGCTTTGGGGTAAAAAACAAACAAAAAAAAAGTTAGCTAAGTTTTCTCTCTATCTACCTGGAAGTTGGAAAATGAGGGGTAATGAAGGTTAAAATTTGAAGTGGTTTTATTTCTGTTTTTTTAAAATCAACATGAGTTTTCAGTCGTGGCCCAAACCCCACTCTGCTTGGTGCTGTGCATGCCCCAAAAAGGCAATTCCTGCCCCAGAAAGATGAGAGTTTGGCTGGGCTGAAATGAGCCCTGAAATGAAGCCGAAGATAAACATAAATACTTTCAAGCTTTGGGGTAAAAAACAAACAAAAAAAAAGTTAGCTAAGTTTTCTCTCTATCTACCTGGAAGTTGGAAAATGAGGGGTAATGAAGGTTAAATTTTGAAGTGGTTTTATTTCTGTTTTTTTAAAATCAACATGAGTTTTCAGTCGTGGCCCAAACCCCACTCTGCTTGGTGCTGTGCATGCCCCAAAAAGGCAATTCCTGCCCCAGAAAGATGAGAGTTTGCCTGGGCTGAAATGAGCCCTGAATTGAAGCAGAAGATAAACATAAACTACTTTCAAGTAACTTTGTGTGGCTGCATTTGGGGGAGGATTTATTTCTGGAATTGGTGAAGAAGCCCTAAATAATGTCATTGATTCATCTGGTTGCTCCTGTGGTTTACAGTTAGTGATAAGCACTTAAAGCTTTTTGTTCCTGGGCTGGCAAGGATGGAAGTACCCTCAAGGAGGTGACCTTGAAGCCATTAGACTGTATCATTCCTGTTTGGCAGTGGCCCTGATTATCCCAGAAGGGAACTGAGGGAGAGGTGACAAGGACCAATGGTGATCTGTCACCCCCCCCTCCCTGAAAACTCCAGTTGTTAATCTGAACAGACTGGCAGGGGACTCCTGCTGAGAAACTTTGGCTGCCTGTTGCCTGCAGTTAAGGCATGTTGTTAGGAAATAAAAGCTCTGAGAACATTATTTTGTGGAAACATTTTGCAATGTGATTTTGTGGGGTTGTTTGTTTGGTTTTTTTCTCCCATTCTTGTTTGTCTCTGTTTTTAAGTGGGTGTAATCAAAGTGTGAGCTTTGGACAAGTCCTCACAGCCTGTAGGTTCATCTCTGCTCTCCTGCTTTGGGCAAGGACTTTGCTAAGCACAGGGTAACTCCTTGGTAACTGGGGTTGTTTAGAGAGAAGGGGATGTGGACCTGCCACATGGATTCCTGCCCAACCTTGTTCCCCTGACCCTGTCTCTTTTCTTCCATCTCATTTCAGAGCAATCAACGAGTTGACCTGTACAAGTGGAAGGAAGGTAATGGTGAAGTTTGCACCTCACTGCAAGGACACACACGTGTGATCAGGTGAGGAGCAAGTGATGGAAAAACTGGATGGAAGACAGAGTGGTGGGGGCTGGAAGGGACCTCTGCAGATTGTCTAGTCCAACCCTCTGCTAGAGCAGGATCACCTACAGCAGATCCCACAGGAACACATCCAGGTGGGGCTGGGATGACTCCAGAGAAGGAGGCTCCACCACCTCTCTGGGCAGCCTGGCCCAGGGCTCTGCCTCCCTCCAAGTACCTTCTCCTTATGTTTAACTTAACCCTCCTGTGCTCCAGCTTGTGCCCATTGCCCCTAACCAGGCACATGACATGAAATTCACTTTCCATGCTATACAAATACTCCAATTTGACTGTCATGCGCCCCTAAAAAGATTTTTAAATCCAAATTCAGCAAGGAGGGAGTGACAGGGATAAAGGAAGAATAAATACATCTTGGGGAAGATGACCTGCTGCAGGGTGCTGGTTTGTATCTGGTCAGTCTGATCCATCTGGCTACAGCTTAATATTTAGAGCAGTGCTCAGTGAAGGAAAGTGCTCTTGTTGACTACCAGGAAAGCTTCATAAAACCATGGGTTGTTTCATGGAAGGTGGATGTTTTGGTCCTGGCCCTCCTCAGGCTCTGCTCTGAGCCTGTTGTCACTAGCTTTTCTGGACTGTCTTGCCTTCCCATTTGGAGAAGACAGATGTGAAGCTGCTCATCCCCCAGTATATCAGCATTTGATGGCTCCAGTGTCGCTGCCTTAGGTTGCTGTCCTTGTAATGAGCAGCAGCCATCATCTGGGAACCAGCATGTTTATTAAATTGAATCCCAGCTGTCTTTCTGTGTGATAGCAGTCTAATTAAAGGAATGTAATCCCAAAGATCAAGTTCAGAGTGTTATGGTGGTGCAGGGGAGACTTCAGCTTCTGGTTCTAGGGGTGTGTTTTAGTGCTGGGCTGGAAATGCAAGTGAAAGATTATTTTTACTCCAGCTCCTGACTGTGGAAAGTAATTTCAGCCCTTGCAAGGGCTGACTGGAGACTGTTGGTGTCTCAGGACAGTGCTGAGCCCAACAGGAGGGCATCCCAGGGTGTGTGGTGACTGGGAACTCCCTGAGACAGTGTCCACATCCACCATAGCTGGAAGGGTCAGGGCTAGGAGGGTGCTTCACTGGAATTTGCTCAGAAGCATTCCATTGCTTCTTGGAATTTACTTAGAGAAATGATCAAGATCTTGCTTTTTACTAAAAAATTTCCAGTAGGTGTTATGGAGAGGCTGTGAATTTGTTGGGAGAAGTGCCCTGAGGGCTGGTGAGAAGTTGATGCAAAGTGTGTGTGCTTTTCTTTGCTGACCTACTGTGATTATTTTGCACTTGCAGTGACTTGGACTGGGCAGTATTTGAGCCAGACCTGCTGGTCACCAGTTCTGTTGACACCTACATCTACATCTGGGACATCAGGTAAGAATCAGGGTGTTTCTGCACTGCAGGGAATTAGGTGGACTCCTTTCCATGATTAGCAGCTTGCAGGGCAAAGCATGCACTGATGGCTGTTGCTCACTGGTGGGCTTCATCTGCTTCCCATGATCCCAAAGATCTGTTCCCTATTTTCAAACCAGTTCAGAAGGGCAGGAAAATGGTGTGATTAAGCCACTGCCATGCTCCTGGTTGAAAATACCAACTGGCTTCACTCCCTGCCCTCTTCAGATCTTCCTCTGGAGCTTTTCCTGGAACCCAAGGGTGTTTCTCCACCTGCTGGGTTTTTTTTTTCAGCTGAATGAATGAGCACTATTTCATGATCCTGCAGCCAATTTCCATGGAATTCAGTGGTTGTTGCTGATTTTTCCCTCAGTGATGGGAAGACTGGCAGTGGAATTCAGGAAGCTTTTCCTGTTCATGCCTTCCCTTGCTTCCTGGTGCTTTCTATCATGAGTCATTTCAGAGTAACAAATCTTTCCAAACCCACCAGTACTAAAACTCCACATTTTAGACCTGGGAAGCAAGGAGTTGGCACTGGGACTGCTGGGATCTCTTGCTGGCTGCACAGCAACTTTTTATGACCCCTGGCAAGTCACTTTGTTCCTCTCTGCCTCCTTTGCTCAGTTATAATAGCAGGATAATTGTATAACCCCACTGCACCAGGCTACCCTGAGGCTTGTTTAGCTCCTATGAAGCACTTAGATCCTTAGTTAAATGGTGCTTGAGAATGACTATATATTATTAATGTGTAATTAAAAGACACAGAGAGACAATAACTGCTGGTTGTGTTTTCCTGGGATGCTATCTAAGTGCCAAGCAACAAATAGTTTCTCTGAAGGTTGGTTATGGGAAGCCCTGCTTCAACTCTGTGCCCTTCCATCATTTTCTGTCTGTGTGTGTCACTTGGCCAGAAATGTTTGCTCAGGCAGCCTCTGCAACCCACTTGTGCTGTGAAGGGCTCTGAGCTTGCTGGGGTGGTGAGGTCCTGGGACTGCTGGTCTCCAGCAAGTGAACATCTTGCTGATGAAATGGCTGTCTCTGGTGATACCCTAGGGAGGTGGCCCTGCCCAAAGGGTAGCTGGAGGTTTCCTGCTTCATTTTTCATATGAAATAACTTTAGGTGGAAACTCTTAGAGGGAGAGGTACAGTTCATTCCAGAAAATGTTCTGCTTTTCAGCAAACATAGAATCCCAGACTGGTTTGTTTTGGAAGGGGCCATAAAGGTCATCTAGATCCAACCCTGCATGGGCAGGGACACCTCCCACCAGCCCAGGTTGCTCCAAGCCCCATCCAACCTGCCCTTCAACACTGCCAGGGATGGGGCAGCCACAGCTTCCCTGGGCAACCTGGGCCAGGCTCTCACCACCCTCACACTAAAGAACTTCCTCCTCATGCCTAACTTCAGTCTCCCTCTTCCAGTTTTAATCCCATGTCCTCTTGCTACATGTCCTTGTCAAAAGTCCCTCCCCAGAAGCTGCAGACAATATTCCTTATATTCACAGGCATTTTTCATGGGAGGGCAGGTGAATTCCTGAGGAGCTAAGGCCAAGGAATGAATTATTGCCTTGTTCCATGTCCTGGCTGCTTGGAGTTGCCATGGTGCTGCACTGCCTTCTGCCACCTCAGAATTTGGTCTTCAGAGCCTTCCCACAGCTGGGCTCATTTCTTCCTGATTTCCTGGTTACATGCAGGACATGAGGTTCTTGCACTGCAGTTGCTGCTCCATCTGCCTTCAATCATGGTCTGCAGGGGTTTGAGAAACACATCAGTGGCTTTTGTTGAGTTTTTCCACAGCTCTTTTCCTTCTAATCCTCCTGGGAAAGGCTTTTTTTGTTGCTTTCTGCAACAGTGCTTTATGAGCCCAGTGTTGCCTTGCCTGCCCAGCTGCAACAAGCCACCCTGTGCACATTTCTCCTCCCTCTGGTCCCTTCCAACCCCAACCTATGTCCTAAACTTGCTGCTGTGTGTGGTGACAAACCAGACTGGCTGTTGCACCTCCAGCAGGTCACCTTTCTTCCCTTTCATGTGGTGTATTTTGGTAAGCAGAAGGCACATGAGCTCCCAAGAGGCAGCAATAAGATTAGCAAGGAGCTCAGTGGGGAGGCTGGACCTGCTGGGTTGTGCTCACATCAGCCATATTATGTTTCAGGGACACCAGGAAGCCTACAGTCTCACTCTCTGCAGTTGGTAAGTATGGCATGTGTGTGATACATTGTTTAATACCTGTATGCAGTGTCCTGTGTCCCTGCTGCTCTTCCTCCCTCCATGCTCTGAGGCTGAATATGTTGGGGAGACATGAAACAATCCTTAGAATAGCTTGAATGAAAACAGAAAGGTTTTGGGAGGGAGGTGGTGAACCTGCAGCTCTTATCTGGAGTAAGTTGCTCCATCTGAGCTCATGGACTTGAGTAGTTTAATCAGGTCCAACCTGTGGCTGTAAACTGCAATATAGATCTCTAGGCATGTAACTGGGGCACTTTTTTTTTTTTTGCTTTGAGGTCCTCAGGACACAAAACACTTAAGCTGAGGAAATGGGAGTTAATACTTTTCATTTCCTGCTGGCTTCTGGGGAATCTTTCCTCTTGAACTGCTTTTCCTCTGCTAAGAACAGCACCTCCCAAGCCCAGCTCAAGGGTCTGTTGTGCAACTTTGGAATTGCTTGTTTTGATCTGCTCTTGTTTGTGCTGCAGCTGGAGCTTCCCAGGTCAAATGGAACAAGAAAAATGCCAACTGTTTAGCAACAAGCCATGATGGGGATGTCCGGATTTGGGACAAAAGGGTGAGTTGAGAGGCTCTGCAGCAGCCTGTGTGTATTCCCACTTAGTTAATACAGACATCCCTCTGCTCACAGACAAATACTGAGGAAAAATGTCCTGCTTTATCCCAAATCTCTCTTGTGGGTTGACTTAAACTGGAGGGAATTGGGAGCCTGAAGAGACCATGTAGAAAACCTTCCCCAGAAACCTTTCCCTTTAGCATTTTGCTTTCAATCTCATAATACTTGGCTATTTTACTGAGTATGAAGTGTAGTTCAGGGCTGCACTTGGTGACTGGAATTGACCACACCTTCACAGGACCTTTTCAGTTCTTTCTGTTGAGCTGCTTGCTTTTCCCCAGCAGGAGGTTGTTCTGCCTCTTGCCCTTGTTCAAATGTCTCTCGAAGCCAAAGAACTAGAACAGATTTCCTGTGCTGAGAAGGAAAATGTCTCTCCTTGCAGAAACCCAGCACTGCAGTAGAGTACTTGGCAGCTCATCTCTCCAAAATCCATGGTCTGGATTGGCATCCTGACAATGAATATACCTTGGCCACTTCCAGCCAAGACAACTCTGTCAGGGTAAGTGTGACCTCTGCTTGGGAGATGTCAGGATGGTGGAGCAGATGGCTTTCTGTGACTGCTCAGCTCTTGGGGACTGCTTGCCAGTGGTGACTTCTGAATCCTTATTTTCCAATTTCTGTGTTGGGCTAAGGCTGTGCTAACAGACCAGTCACTGCAGGATGGGTGCACATATATTTGCCACATCTCTGGTGGTGGTTTGGGTAGTACTGAAGCTGCAAACAGCCACCTCTGCCTGTTGCTTGCCAGAAGGGAGCTGGCCACACATGCCAGAAGAGCCTTCTCCCCAAAAATCAGTGTTACCAGCCTCAAACTGCCTACAGCAACTTGGGGAGAGATATCCCTGGGGTTCCCAAACTCATGTTTGGGTGATCAGTAAGAGACTGTCTGCAAGCATTGCTGTGCAGGGTCTTTTGCTTGGGGTACAGGGGGGACAGTGGGCCTTGTATGACAGCCAGATGGAGTTAGCTCACATTTAGCTGAGCTCCAAGGCAAGTGCAATTGGTGTGTGTTCTAGCAAAGCAAAAGGTTAGATTCTTCATTACCAAATTAGCAGTAACAGCAGGGTGGGCCTGCCTCCAGTCTGGGCTGGCAGCCTGCAGGGTGCCTTGGAGCTCTGAAAGCCCAAACAGGCTGCCTGTCTCCCTGCTTTAATGACTCAAGCTCTGATCACTGTGACTGTGACCCCAAGTCACACATTGGGGCGTTGCTGCCAGATGCTGGTGCTTTGGGGGTTTGGCATTTGGGGCCAGCTCTGCTCTTCATGAATGGCATTGCTAATGATGCTGCAGGCACCCTGGCATGATTGTTGCTCTGTCTGCAAGCCACGTGGCAAACTGCTGCCTGAAAGTATAGCCAGCTGACTCTTTGCTTGTCTTTTTTGTGTGTTTTGGGGCCTTTTTGAAGTTCTGGGATTACCGGCAGCCTCGGAAATACCTCAACATCCTTCCCTGCCAGGTTCCTGTCTGGAAGGCAAGGTACACGGTGAGTGAGTCAGCCCCACTTGCACTTGGAGACATGAAATAAAGAACTGTTGAAGGGCTTCTCACCAGTTCTTCTGCTGGACATGCTTACGTTGATTTTAAAAATCCCTTTTTGGTGCTTAAAAGGCCCAGCAAAGCAGTGTCTGCAATGGTGGCACTCAGGAGAAGGAATGAGCAGCAGTGTGAGATCCCAGTCTGAGGCATTGTCCTCCTAGGGGGGGGAAACTCAGGTGCAGGTGGCTCAGAAAGTGGCTGCTGCTCTTGTCCTGTTTTTCTTTTCAGTACCTGTGGCAGGGGTCTTCTGCCTTCTGAGTCTCAAAGTTATCAAGCATGCCACACTGGGCTATGTCAGATCTCCCTTTTAGAAATCAAGCACCCATCCACCTAAGAGCTAAGGCTCTTCACATCAGTCATACCCATCCTCTTCCCCTGACACCTGAAGGTGGCCTGAAGCCAGTGCTGTGCCTTGTGTCTTTGATCCCCTTTCCTCATCCCTCTGGTGGGGATGCAGGACTGGTTTCCAGAGTTCCTCTGAGCACTGTGACCCCTGAGAAGTTCTTGCAGCTCCAGGCAAACTGGTGTAAGGATCTCATGAAAAGACAAAGGTGAAAACCCTCCAGCCTCACAGCTGCAGAGTGAGGAAGCAGCAGAAAGGAATTATTAATCTTGAGCTGCATTGAATATCTCAGTGTGCTGCATCTTATCCCTTGTAAGAGACTAGTTTTGCACAGCCATTTTCTTGGACCCTCCCAGTTCTAGGCCTAGTTCTGTTTTGTGTTGAGCTCCTTTAAAATCCATTCTTGTTGCTGGGAAAAGGGAAAAATTAAGAGAGGATGGGAGCAGAATCCCCCAGGGCTAACTGGAAGGGTTTTTTTTTTTCCTCTCAAGCCTTTCAGCAATGGGCTGGTGACAGTGATGGTCCCCCAGCTCCGACGAGAGAACAGTCTTCTCCTCTGGAATGTCTTTGACTTGAACACACCTGTCCACACTTTTGTGGGACATGATGATGTGGTGCTGGAGTTTCAGTGGAGGAAGCAGAAGGAAGGTGAGTTCAGGGCTGGGTGTGTCCTCTCCCCTGTGCTGCAGCCATGGGCTAACCAGGGGTGTGGAGGCCTGGCTATGATGCTTATGCTGTCACCATTTCAGTCTTGTCTGTCTTTGGAGTAATTCCTGGTGTTTTCATGCCCTCCCTCCAAGTTACAGCTGTGTTGTACTTGTTTTTTGGCACTGCCCACACAAGCATTGTCCTGTTGTTTCCCTGCTAACAAAGCTGAGTAGGTCAATGATGATTCTTAATTGCTTCCACTCTCCTGTGAGTCTATTTTTAAATGGACCTCTTGGAATAAACTGTCCAAACTATTAGCTGGGTGCAGGAGTGCAAGTTCCCTTCCCTGCTCAAAGCTGCAGACTGACCAGTTAACCCCTCTGCCTCCAGCAGCAGCCCCCAGTGTGTCCCAGACCACAGACCTGGCCAACCCACCTTATCTGTGTGCTTGCAAAATCAGGGGAGGAAGAGTGTGGCACAAAGAAGCTGCTGCTGTTTGAGTTCAGTCCTGACTAAATTTTCCAGTGCAGGCAGCTAAATATAGGAGATTCCATGCTGGAGCACACAGAGCACAGCTTTGTTTCCAGCACCTCAGCTGCCATGGACAGAAGAAGCTTTGGTGTCACTTGTGCTGCTTTGCAGGGCTGTGTAAAAATTCTGGTCCAACCCTCTGCTACCAGCTGCTGGGGTGATTCAGTTCAGTCATCACCTTCTCATGACCTTGCTTTTCCTCTTTCAAAAAGAGAGAAGTGGTGTAAAACAGTGTTGGGATCTGGAGGCACAGTCCAAGCTTGTGAATTCAAGCAAGTTTGAACCACAGTGTGAGCTGAGTTAATATATCTGAGCCTGCAAGTCATGCTCATCTCCAGCAACATAAATCCATCATACCAGCATTCCAAGTCAGGTTCAATGCAGAGACAACCAAGATAGCACAGATCTCTTTCCACAGGACTGGATTTAGCCCCTGTGCCTCAGCAGGGGTGTGGAGGAAGCAGCTGTGCAGCAGCAAATTCCCAAATGCAGCAGCTGCTGGACAAGGGGAAATTCAAACTGTATCACAAGGCCTAAACATGGGCATAAATAAGTCTGTGTACCTTCATCTGTTGACAGATAGTATGTGGCTGGATAGATTTCATTACAACCTGAGCTTGTCTTGGCTTGATCCAAGTCTGAGAAGGAAAAAGGGGGGAGGGTAGAAGCAGCTTCTCTTAGCTTAGAAATGTTTCAAAACACTTCAAACTCTATGATGAACTAAAAGGTGTTTCGATTTTCTACTTATATAAAAAAAAAATAAATCAAGCTGGTTTGGAACTGGATGATTCCTTCTGCTTAAATAAGTGTTGGAGTAGAGTTTGAAGGAAGTTTCATGAACCACATTTTATTTCCTTCCTCCTTTTCCCATGGGAATTATACCCCATGCAGGGGTGTGGTGGCCCTGGTGCAGGGCAAGACTAAAAGCCCCCAGGTCAGGTCGGAGTGAACCAGGACTCACTCTGCCTTTTGGTTCAGTATCTTGGCTGTTGGGTCTCCTTGCTGGAATCTGGGTATGCCAAGTGCAGGGCTGAGATGGTCTCTGTTTTTAGCAGGGTCTGCAAGTTGTCCCTGTCCTTTTTAGGTTCCAAAGATTACCAGCTGGTGACGTGGTCCCGGGATCAGACTCTGCGGATGTGGCGGATTGACTCTCAGCTGCAGAGGGTGTGTAAATGTGTTTGCTCCCCAACTGTAGGCTGTTCTGGATTCACTTCCCTTTCCTCACGCTCCCAGTTGCTCCTCAGGTATCCCAGAGCTGCAGACACAGAGCTGCTTCACTTTCCTCCTCAGCTCCAGCCCAGAAACATCCCCAAGGAGACCTGTGAGGTCTCTGTGCCTCAAAAGCTCTGTGAAGTGCAAGGTCCCTTGGTTGTGTAACAGTAAGTGTACAAGCTATGTGGGGAAAGTGGAGAGCAATTACTGCTTGCATT